GGTCGATCCATTACACGACCTGTCATCATTGTTTCTTATGAGACTTTACGACTTTATGTTGATGAGCTAAAGCATACTCAAATTGGACTGATGTTATGTGATGAGGGTCATCGTTTGAAGAACGGAGACAGTCAGACATTCGTGGCATTGAATAGTCTCAATGTTACAAGGAGAGTTATTCTATCTGGAACGCCAATTCAGAATGATTTAACAGAATATTTCTCCTTGGTCAGCTTTGCAAACCCAGGTCTTTTGGGCACTCGAATGGAATTCCGTAAGAAATATGAATTGCCAATTCAACGTGGTCGAGATGCAGCTGGTAGCGATAAAGATCGACAAAAGGGAGACGAATGCATTAAAGAACTTCTCAACGTCGTCAACAAATTTATTATTCGCCGAACAAACGATATTCTTTCTAAATATTTACCTGTCAAATATGAGCACGTCGTCTTCTGTGGTCTCGCACCCTTTCAACTCGATCTATACAATCATTTCATCACTAGCCCAGACATTAAAGCTCTTCTGAGAGGAAAAGGAAGCCAGCCTCTCAAAGCTATCGGCATGCTCAAGAAACTCTGCAATCATCCTGACCTTTTAAATCTTTCGGAAGATCTTCCGGGCTGTGAACAATACTGGCCCGAAGACTACGTTCCAAAAGATGGTCGTGGTCGCGATCGTGATATCAAACCTTGGTATTCAGGAAAAATGCAAGTTCTCGACCGCATGCTCGCACGAATCCGTCAGGATACCAACGATAAAATCGTCCTAATCTCCAATTACACACAAACCCTCGACATGTTTGATAAACTATGTCGAAGCCGCGGCTACGGATCTTTACGTCTCGACGGTACCATGAATGTAACGAAGCGTCAAAAGCTAGTTGACAAATTCAATGATCCGAATGGCCAAGAATTCGTCTTTTTGCTAAGTAGTAAAGCCGGAGGATGTGGCCTCAATCTCATCGGAGCCAATCGACTTGTCCTTTTCGATCCCGATTGGAACCCAGCTGCTGATCAACAAGCTCTCGCTAGAGTATGGCGTGATGGTCAAAAGAAAGATTGTTTCGTATATCGCTTCATCGCCACTGGTACCATCGAGGAAAAGATCTTCCAACGTCAATCCCACAAGCAATCGCTTTCATCCTGTGTTGTCGATTCTGCGGAAGATGTCGAGAGGCATTTCAGTCTAGATTCTTTGAGGGAATTGTTTCAATACAGGAAAGACACAACGAGTGATACTCATGATACTTTCAAATGTAAGCGTTGCAAGCCGGATGGAAAACAGTTCTTGAAGGCCCAAGCGATGATGTATGGTGATACCAGTACATGGAATCATTTTGTTAATGCAGGGTTGGGCACAATACAGGATCTGTTGTTAAGACAGGAGTGTGGAGACGAGGATGTTAGTGCGGTATTTCAGTACATAAGTCATTAGGAGAAGGAAGTTGAGTGTAGAGGGAGATGGTACTGGAACGGATGCCGGCGTGGTTTTTGATGTGGATTGGAGCACTTTTTTGTTATCCTTAATTTTGTGTGGGAATTCGACGACAAAATCGGACGAAGAGAATTAAGGCCATTTGTAGTATTTCCTCAAGCGGGCGTTTTGGTATGATAATGATAGACAGAAGCGATTATGGTACATAGAACAGTTTATATGATTTTGATTTTCGATTCTCTTCGCCTCCTAGATACTGGCTGCTTCATTTTTCATTGATACATTTTATACAGACTAAAATAAGTGTCAGAAGTTAAGAGTCAAACGCCCTCTGATGTTGCACCTACTTGGATACCTAACCTTATATTAACCTAGTCAAACACCCCTCATCATACATACCATCAAATCAGAAACAAATTCCCCTCGCACACCTGAGGATCATCAAGTCCTCAATCATCGAGATTGACATCAGCATTAGGAAACCCTCCAAACCTCAGCACAACCTCATACTCCCTAAAAATACAAATAAATAAATAACACAATCCCATACTCCTCACATCAAAAGTTTCAGATCCGCTACCTCCCAAATTATAACCGCATGAACAATAAGAACCTACATATCAGATAACTACTATGCAACTTAAAAACACTCACCGATTGATTCTATTCCCTACAAATCCTAGTTTCTCCTCATCCTCCTCCTCCTGCACCTCCTCTCTACTCCTCCCACAACCCCACCCTCAAATCACAAAGTTCAACTCATAAAAACAACCATATCACTTCTCACTACTAACTTCTTCAGAAAATCCAATTACTTACTAGATAGATATGTAGATAGATACTTACCCATTGAAAATTTAGCCCCCATCACAATTCATCACTTCACATAAGTAGAAACAATGATTACACCATTGCTCACATCAATACTACCATTAAAATTACCACTACCACTACTACTATCAAAAAGATACATAGGTACATGCTACGCCACCACACATTCATAAATAATTCCATACCTACATAATGCATAATACATACCCCTCATCTTTCATCTTCCTTTCCTCTCACGAGTACAAATACAAGATACAAAATACAATCCCACGCTATCAACATATCTTTGTTTATTATTGTCTAGTGCACAGCCATCATATCATCTTCTTCAAACTCAAACTCGACCTCCTAGCCAATTTTTTAACTGCCTAAACCTCCTAATTTACATGTACACACACACACACACACACATACATACATACATAAAGAACACACCCCATCTCCATATCTCAGCTCCTCCAAACAATACTTCCCAAAATACACAGCGAAATACATGTTGTGTAACTCCGTGGCGTGCGTATAAAATCATGAGCAAGTTATTTACTGTCGTAACACATACCACATGCAGCATCGAAGTAAGATGTCTAGATAACCGAGTCGTACACCCGATGAGACATTGTACAGATGACCTGCTTTACCCACCAATGCAATATAAAACTAATTTGCGTCACCATTATGAATCACATGTATTCACCAAAGCAAAAATGGCAGTATCATGAAATGTCTCTATATTGCGCACATACTAATGATATCTGTCAGGTTAGAAGAAAAAGGCAACTGTCTGGCAATATGTAGTTCTTCCAAACCGAACCATTTGAACAACCATATCAATACCAATGTATAAACGAGATTCCATGCACGATGAAAGAATGAAGAGAAGTATCTCATGTTGAATTGAGACATCATCTGAAAATGAAGGGAGAATCGCACACCCGCAAAGTCAATACTGAGTCCTAGTGCCGAAAGAGAACAAACATATACGTAAAGACGGCCACCCGGTTGGATTCCATGTTTAATGCTTCGAAGTGTATATTGCTGGTTTAGGTCGAAGAAGTCAAAAGATATATTTCTTGTTGCTGAGATGACGGGTAGATGGGAGATAAGGAAAGGGGTGATGATCGGATGATCAGCAATGCTCCTTTTCGTGGAGGATTCGAGGCTTTTTGTCCATCTAAAGAACGATTGGAATGGCAACGCAACTGTTGGTGAGAACATTGATTCCACCCTGTGTACCGCCACTGTTAGAATCGTCATCGCAATCGGGCTAGCCATGTAAGATAAAGAAATTTAGTGAAGAATAGAGAAGACTTACGCTGGTATCGCCGCCGTTCACATTACAGCAGACGGGCGCGGAATTACATTTGCCTCCGAGCACGACACCAAGGATCGGGATTGGGATCTCAGCGCCTATTATTGCCATTAGCAAGATTTCTGGACTAGACGAGACAATTCTTGTAGATTGGACGACGTCAACGGGTTAATAAATGAACTTACAGTTCAAACCCAACAGATTGCCCAAAAGACCATCACCTCCACTAGTAACAGATTGACAACATGAGAGTGTTTGACCTTGAGCACAGGTTTGCCCTCCACCACGAGCGAAGATTGTTGATTCCATAGTGGGAATAGCAACGACCATGGCGGCCAAAGAGAGAACAACAGCGGCGATAGTGAAACGCATTGTAAATATAGGGAGCAAGTTATTGACTTAAATGATTGATCCAAAAGCGAATGGAATGAGCTAGAGTGTGTATATGAAGCGAGATTGTTCAGCAAAGTCAAGCAAATGTGAGTCGATGAGTTGATTAGAAAATGAGATGGGGAGGAGAACTATGAGACCTTATATACAGGAGCCCTCCTCGTCAAAGTAACACTGAAAAATCGATGCAAGTGCTATCGCCTCCAGTTGACAGGTCTAATGAACTGCCAAGAGGCCGAAATATTGAAAGGAGTAGGTACAATTTTCTTCACAATCAAGCGAGATGGGACAAAGGAGGTAGCATTGTGCGTTCACACTACGGAGGAAAGAGCTTTCACGTCACTTGAAAAACGCCAATCGTCCTTGTTGCCTGTTATACCGTCTCTTTTCGGAACTGGGTATTCCCATCCTAGATTTTTCATGACAATCATTAAAATGAGGTTGTCTCTTACTAGAAAACGAAGGAGTTATCATAGCAGAACGTGACCTTGTGTAAGGGCAAGCGCAGAAACAGCCTGCAATTGGGCAAGAGAGATCGATACATAAGGAAAGACCAGATTAATAGTTTCCATGTGACGATGTACTACATCAATACCAAACTTTAGATAGAGTTGATTTTGCCACGTTGTGATATTGCATATACTTGAATAGAAAGGGCCAACAAGCGACAACGATGGATCGTCGGAGTCTTCATGGGTCCCCGTGAAATTAAGCTGAAATTGTACATCATAGATAGTGGTTAGGGGGAACACTGAAGCACAGAACGAAGGAGAAAATAGATATATCTACGCGGCTGATGATTTGTAGAGCTTGTGATGCTCGATTGCCATAATCCTCCTATGAATGCGCCACACTAAAATAACTCCAAGTATTTGATTCCATGATTATTAGCGCCAATTCGCCACTGAAATTTGGTAAGGTGAATTTTCGTAGATCATGTAGCTAGATGTTCAAAGATTATGTGGACCTCCCTTGTCTCCCTTCAAGTATCATGCGTGCCAGAAATGCGAAAGAAGTACTTATTCCAATTATGAGCCTAGTTTGGATTCCAAACGGTCCACCAAACGCCAATGTTAGCCGCTATGATCAGATCTAACATCTTCAAGCCCTCATCATGGATGATGAGTTTCCCAAGTTTTGCACGTTTGCCTCTATTCCCACCACCGGCTTTTTCTTGTCCAATACTAAGGTCCAGCCGATCGTCATTATCGTTCGAGGTTGTCAGCTCGTCCAAGAAGTTATTTAATCTTTGTGTTAAGGGCGGAGAGTCTTCTTCAAATGACGAGCTAATTGAGGAAGGTCTAGGTGGCAGATGGGAAAGATCTGTCCCATCACTTGCGTATGGAATAGCATGAGACGTTTGATGCGGCTGAGTTTCAGATGGATGGTGAGGGCTAGGCTTAGATAGCCTTTTACGGAAACTTCCTAGTTTTCGTGTAAGTTTAGTCGACCCACTCTTGACTTGAGCTGCAGCCAAGTCCATCTTCTCTCTATCGAATAAATCTGAACTTGGTAAATTGAAGCGAAGTTCGCTCACAGTCACAGAGCTTGACGAAGAGGCAGTGGAATCTGCGGATACTGGGGCTGGTAGCTTGTGTAGACAACGTAAGGACCGGCCAGCGCCACCAGTGGAAAAAGTGCAGGTACCTCCCCAAGGACTTAAGAATGTGTAACCCTTGGCGCGAGAATTTTCGGTCCCATCCGCGGACCGATTTTCTGGATCAGATTCCTGCGGACCTTCCGAGCTACCGCTGGTATTTCTGCTGTGATTTCTCGACAAATCAGATATTGCCCTTCTGTGCTGTTTAAAAGTTTTATTCCATGAACTAGCCCATTCCATTGATATTTGACTGTGAAACCCAGATCCGGAGACCCCAGCCTTTTGCGTCACTGATGTGGGGACTTCATTTCCGGAGGGTTGGTATCTAGCTCCTTGTGACTCCCGAGCTTGAGCTGTACCACCGAGCTTGTTGTTGCCTATCGGGTGAGTATGATTGCGGAAATAGGTATAGCCTGGCGTTGTGATATGTACAGAAATGTCATAGTAGGGTTTTTTAGTTGCCGTCATCCCTACAGTGGGAGGATTGGATTTGCCTTCAACTATGCCGACATTCCATTGGCCACCCGAGGTTGGATCTCGTCGAATGATAGTTATCGAAAATGCCTTCGCAGAATCATCAACTGGTTTGGGTCTTTCAAACATCGTATGGCTACTTTGAGGCCGGTGTGATGTCTCCAGATCACTGTGAATAGGACTACCAGCCTGAGAAGACTCTGGGGTGAATAACGAATTCTGAGGGACTATTTTCGTGAGAGGCTTTCTGTTGACAGTATTTGACCGCGCCATAGAAGGATGCTGACCTACGACCCGCCGAGAAATACCTGCTTCTACTACCATTGGCGTATTGGCAACGTTGTCACGCGGGGGCACGATGTCATCATGTCCCGAAGTATCACCCTTTTGGATATCTAGCGCAGGTGCTTGGTGTTGTAGGCGCTCCAAGTTTAATACACTTTGCCTATCAATATCCAAAGACTGGGCCCTAGAGCCATCGGGTAGAGGTTTGCGGGGTAAATTCTTTTTAGAAAGTGCCCGGGAAGGGACCAGCTGCTCTTCGGGTAAGAGTTGGGCGTCCTCATCCGAATTCAGATGTAAGTAGTATAAAGAGTTTGCGACATCTTCGGATGTGACATTCTTGAGTTGTGGTTTCAAGGTTGTAAGAATGATATCTAGAAGACAGAGTCAGCTATGACGATCAACGCCCTACATGCATGCAAACGCACCATTACTACCAGGTACTCTAGCGATATAGAGAACTAGATTGGCCTTTCTCTGCTCGGTTGGATTTCGTGGATACTTCGGAGGGTTTCCAGCAAGCTGGATCAGACCAGAAAGCGAGTTTGCTTCAACGAAATCTTGCGGAGACATATTTCGCCGGCGATTTGAGGTATACGATGGCACTGGACTGACAAAAAGAGAGAAGGGGAGCTCTTCTTTTTACACTCTCGTTCCCCTGGAGTGAATCACACACAGGAAGGCAAAGCAACAAATTCGGCAGATTAAACCTTGGGATTATTGACAAGAAGCGGGTGGAAGAAGCTCAGCCTTTTGGAAGAGAATTTTGTTTTGTAGGTTTTCGATTTATTAAGCTTTTTGCTATATCACTGTGATATTGGGCAGCAGAAAATGTACCCCAGATATGTCAGGGAAAGATGGTGGGTATCTGGAACTGGGGTCTCATATGGCGAATAAGGGAGGCTGATATGCTGCTGATGGGATGAAAAAAGAGCTGGTTGGTGTAACAAGGAATCGCAGAAACTTATAAAGATTGAGAAAGTTATCAAAGATGTAGCGGTGATAATGATTGCCACGACATCATATACTTGATCCACATGTTGCTTGGGGCTACCCAGGTATATTAAGATAGAGAGTAAATAGCCAGATGAGACTTTTATATTGAAATCCTTGATTCTTGGACTCCTTATGCTATTCCAAGCAAATAATTTATTTGGTTTTTAGGTCGATCTGATCATCTGTTGGCGGGTCACCAAGAAATCCCAACCACAAGATTGACTTGCAGCTTTGCACTGCCACGATGTCGTATCAAGTACCGACAAAGTGTGTGAGGCTGATGTATGAGGCTGAGATTTTTGACTTTTCTTTTTTTTTTTCAGACTTCACTTATCAACTGGGTGGGAGGCTCGGGAGGTAGGTGGATGGTAGGGTAGTCACCAGTACAGTATGTGTGCTAGGTAGGTAGGTAGAGGTTGAGAGTCCACCCACCTCACCTACCTTGCCCGCCTCGCCCGCTTAAAATGGATATTTCACCAAAATCCCCGTAAAAACGACCCTTGATTCGTACGAGCTGACCAATTAAAATTCATCAAAAGTTCGTGCACTAGGAGTTAAGAAATCTCGAAAAATTAATTTTGGCTCGGATTATCGTACAGAGGGAGAAGAAGAAAAGCTTCATACTTTTTTACTACACTTTCAATCTTACCCAGGTACCATACAAACACAGAACAACTTTTATGATAGTTATGTTATTTTGATTGCATTAGGATCAAAAGATATAGCATTTATTTAATTCAAGTTTTATCTCACCAGTATTCGTATTGTAATTCATTTGTCATTGGTAAAAGATGGCAGAGAGCACTCTTCAAGTTTGTCTTTCTTCCCCGCCTTTCCTATTTATCCATTAACAAATTTTCACAGGACAGACTGCGTGAGCATGCAGAGGCATTCGATGGATTGCTATCCTTGATTCCAGCAAAATACTACTATGCCGAAGATACCAGTGTACGTTAAAAATTCATCTTGGTCTCAATTGCTGGTGCCACAATGCTGATTGCCTTTCCAATACAGGATCAATGGAAAAAGAAGAAGCAAACTAAGCAACAAGCTGCTGCTGCAAGGCGCGCAAAGCTTGATCCAGATTCTGCAAAGACCGCAAAGGATGTCATGGATGAAAGAGCAAAGAAGAGAAAATTGGAAGAGTCTGAGGATGTTGAGGAGGGTTCCGAAGTCGAGGGCATCGAGAAAGAATTACCAAAACAAGGATTGAAAAAGGCCATCGAGAAGCCAGCAAAAAAGCTGAAGACCGATGCTGAATCCACAAAGGATACATCCAAATCTGCGACACCAAAAGACTCTACATCCAAGAAAGGTTTGACACCAGAGGAAGAGGCGGCAAAATTGGAAAAGAGAAATCAGAAAGAGGAACAGAAGAAGGCAAAGGCGGCCAAGAAGTCAGCTAAACAAAAGGCAAAGAAGGAGGAAGCTGCCAAACAAGTCGTCGAATTACCAACCGAAGACACTCCTGCTAGTGAGTCGACTACAAAAGATGATGTGGCTGAAGAAGTGACCAAGGACACTGCCACTAACAAGACCCCTACCAAAAAGACAATCGAGCATGAAATTGCGGCCGATGAGGAACCAGAGCATGATCAAGAAATTGGTCATTTCGAAGCTGAAGGTCTAGAGGAGCCTGAATCTACCAAATCATCGCCGCCCTCTTCTACTTTCTCCGCAACAAACGAGGACAATGCCAGTGGAGGTACATCCACATCCTCTACTATCCCTCCTACCGCCCCTCCTAAGCACATCACCATTCCAGCCGACTCTGAAGCTCTCCGTTCTAGATTAGCAGCTCGTATCGAAGCCCTACGAGCTCAACGTAAAGCAAACAATCCCGATGGTACCCCCGTTCGCAATCGCCAAGAACTCATGGACCAACGTCGCAGAAAGGAAGAGCAACGCAAAGCCCACAAAAAAGAACTCCGACTCCAAGCCAAAATTGACGAAGAGGCTAGACGAGAAGCCGCTTTGGTATCAGCACGAAGTAGTCCAGCAGGAAGCTTGCTCAGCCCTCTAATTCGCTCACCCGAAAACAATTTTGCTTTCGGTAGAGTCGCATTCGCTGATGGACAAAGTCTCAATGAAGATTTAACCGCACTCAAATCCATACCAAAAAAGAAGGGACCACAAGATGCCAATAGTGCACTTGCCGCCGCAGCCAAGAAACAATCTCGACTAGAAGCCATGGATCCCGAGAAACGTCAAGAGATCGAAGAGAAAGAACGTTGGCTGATTGCGAAAAAGCGCGTAAACGGTGAGAAAGTTCGAGACGATAGTTCGCTACTAAAGAAAACTCTCAAGAGAAAGGAGGCCGCTAAGAAGAAGAGTGAAAAGGAATGGGGCGATAGGATGGATGGTGTCAAAAAGGCAACTCATATGAAACAAAAGAAGAGAGAGGAGAATCTCAAGGCTAGGAGGGATGGAAAGGGTGGAAAGGGAAAGAAGGGTGGAAAGGGTGGAAAGCCAGCTGGTGGTGCAAAGAAGAAGAGTAGGCCGGGTTTTGAGGGTAGTTTTGGTGGTGGAGGAAAGAAGAAATAGAGGCTGTTGTGAAATGATGTTCTGTTAGGGATTTGATTAGGTGTTTAGGAGTGAGGATAGGAAAATCATAATAGAGGATGTGGTGGTTGGTAGGTAGGATAGGAAAGGAAAGGAAAGTGATAGTGTCATGTCTATGGAGTAGACTGACCGGGAGAATCATTCTCATCCAGCAAAATCGATGCATGGATGATGACATTGTGGTTACTACATTGGTCATTAGAGAAATCTTCTACAATACCATCTACAATAAATGTTTCCGTACAAGATAATTTATGTGAACAACTGAATCATTATTGAAATATCTCGAAACTAGAATATACAAACCACTGCTGGGAACCTCATCCTATCTTATGCTATCCTGTCCTATACAATGCAACTCGAAGCCGCTCAACCTAGGAAAGAGAGCAAACAAGAAAGATTTTATATAAAACTCACGCTGTTCTTCATAAACACAAAGCAGACTGAGTTTCCCAACCAACTCCAAAGCTCTTGTAGATAAGTCTTACATATACCTCTTCCTTCTCGTCTATCCATTCATCCACTTCTTTGTCCAGTCATTCATCTATTTATTCATCTATTCATACATTCGTTTCATCCAGTCAGTCATGTACCAGTATTCATCCTGCTGTTGCTGTTTGTTGCTGCTTGTTTCTTCAGTCATATAAATATATATATTCAATCAATAAAATACAGAATCAATCAGAGTATGAAATCTCTTGATATAGTTCCTATTAAATACAATATACAGTCAATACTCCAATTAATATCTATCTACTTAACTCAACTCAACTATCGCTGATACTTCTCCTTCTCCTTTTCATCTCTTATCTAGTATTCTTTTGTTAATTGAGTCTATCAAGTCTATCAAGTCCGGTTTCTGCATTGAGTATCTGATATCTGATATCTGATATCAATCATCAGTCCTCAATCATCACATATCAGCTATCAACTACTGGTAGACAAACAAACAAACTCTTACACACTCTCCCCTATCTATTCCTTGAAAATTATAAAGATATAAGAACAAGACACAAGACATTCAGAAGTAGAACCACAGCCACTACATCACTCACACCAAGCATACTCATCTTCATCTTCATCCAAAATATATAAAAAATCTAATAATCTGTTTAAATTCTGCCATTACAACAAGATTCCAAAGGTACATAAGTCAAGGTAAGGTAAGGTAAGGAGGTAAAGTAACGTAAGATGTGATTTTTCTTTTTCTTTTACAAGAAAATCCCCATCCATTTGCAAATCCGATGATTTTGCATGCCCAAGTTCCTCATATCTTGAATCTTGATTTGTATCTTGATTTTCCTCCCTTACTTCTTACCGTATCTGCAAATACATTTCCTGGCGCCCGCCCAGATAAGAACAGATGAGTGAAAATACTAGGTGAACTTTTCCCTTTCTCTTCTCTCCATTTCCTTCACTGACAAAGAGTCTAACATTCCGACTCCCCTACTCCTCCTCCCCTTCCAATTGAACGAAAATGAATGATGTAGCGGTGGCATAGCAAGAGATATCCTTGTGTGTGTGTGTTGATATATTTTGTAATTTTCCCTCCATAAAAGTATCATCAAGATGCGGCCCACTTCCGCCTTGTATGTGAGATCGTGGATCGAATTGCATGTGTGAGAGATGATTATAGCAAAGAGTCCAAACGGGTAAAGACACTTAAACATGCGGCAACAACTTCGAGTTGTAGTTCTTTATCCTTTCCATTGTTTACTTCCTATTTGCACGGTATTAGTATATGTAATTTTAGAAAGGGGTGCATAGACAGGGGTGTGGGGTGAATAAAAAATATACATACATCTGTAATAACCTGTCCCAAGTTTGCACCTATTCCTGCTGAGCCTCCTGCTCTCTTTCCAAATGGCCATTGGCTGTATTCTGCCAATAACTCATCAACTTGAGCAAATGCTCGTTCTCTGGATTCGTGACCGAGTGATGCGAGGGCGTTCTCTAATACGTTGGCCGCATAGGCAGCACATACCATGGCAATTGTTCTCACATATCTGAATTCGAGGTTCTCGGGGAGGAATTGACTGCCTGGGAGTACAACAGTTCGTTGTGTAAGGACGTTTCGGACTCTTCTTCTGATTTCCTCCTTTGCTCCACCGTCTGCTACAGGGTGCGTCGCCATATCGAATAAAAGGAAGTTTCTCTTTTCGGTTCTTAGAATGCCCTTATCAACCAATCCTTTAGCCAATCGTTCTCTGACTTGTTTCAATTGATATCCGATTTTCATGAGATTCCATGTCTCGCCTGGTAGATAATGTTAATGTTGAGATCTTGAGATGTGTGAAATTGCGATTTCTTACCACTCATCAAATCGATCCATGAACTGACACTCATCTTCTCACTCGCTTTCATCATTTTGAGCGCTTCATCCAATAAGACTTCTCCTGTCAAGGTATCATCGATAACCTCAATTACTCTGTCTGCTAAGGGGAATCGCCGCCTCGAGGAATCCTTCTGCATGCTCACTCTCCCTCTAAATGCCAGCTCAATGACAATACACCCACGAAGCGCATATGATATATTGTCATTCCAGAATGAAAGATAACCCTATAAATTAACATTAGTATCAATCGCAGAAGCGCAAACCACCACCTGTCCAGATCAAGCCACCTACTTGCTTATCCTTCAATCCCAGTAACAAAACTTCCTCCATTAACGTCAATTTAGGTTGTTTGCTTCTCTCTGCACTTTCGTTGATATCTCTTGGATCAAAGGCAATTTTGTGGCCATTCTCTCCGCTCTCATATGATGTTTCTGGGCCGCTTGTATCGCGAGAATTTCCAGCCTTGGGCGCCGGTGATGCAACACGACTCGATTCTCCATTTTCCGTATCGCCAGCTCCTCCTCCACCACCTCTTCTGCGTGTGAGGCCAGAAGACATTGGGTCGTATCGCGAAATCGATTATACTTGTAGTATTTGATGTATGAGTAGGGAATGTCGTAGGAATTAAGCAAAGGGGGATGGATTTTTGTCCTCTTTGCAGTGAGACAGCGGCGTTACCGCTCACAAAAGCAATTCCGCCAGTAGAATATCCTATCCTCTGTCAATAAATTAATTGATATCGAAGTTCTAGATTCTTAAATTCATTCTTCTTCGTATCAATAGTAAAAAAGTGGGCGGGGCAATTGTAGTGTCTTGTAGGTTGAATTGTTCTGTAGAGCTTTGAGGTGCGTGGATGAACAGGGATAGCGCAATCAGAGGACGCTAATATTTTATAGAGAAACTTCTTTGACCGGGGAAGTGGGAGATTATTATGATGGTTCGGAGAGAAAGTTCTTAGTGAAAAGAATAATTTGAAACATATCCAAACTTAATGTATCTTCATGTTTTAAATTTAAGAGGAGAACACAGAGGTTTGTTGAGTAAGATGATCTAAACATTTTTACAGGCGCATAGAATCACATCACTTCTATGAACGCATCGAAGCTCGTACAAGTTTCCCCTCCCTTGTATCGCCGCCTGTTCACCACTTGTATCTCATTCCTGGCCCATGAATCCCCCATTGCCTTACTTCAATCTTGACCGTCCCTATATTATACGATTCCATGATCTAATGAGCTGTAAAAGATATTAGCTATTCTGTTTGCCTTTGTGAAATATAGTAGGAGACTCACCATCTGGTTGGTGAAGAATATACTCGACGGCTTGGTCAACTATGGAATTTATTAGATAATTGCGCTGTTCAATGCTCCCACCAAGACAACATACCACTGAGAATAGAATCCGCATCCTTGTCTGGGATCTCAATGCTGAATTCCTGTGACCGCATCAGTCTTTAGTTCCCCACTGTGAATGTCTTGTACAAACCTCCTCAATAGCCATAACAACCTCTACAGTGTCCAAGCTGTCCAACCCAAGATCGTTCGAGAAGTGTGCGCTTGCAGAAAGCTATTCAATGTCAATCACAACGTTCAGGCCGTCTTCCCTATCATATATCATACCTTCGTTGGGTCCGAAACCTACAAATCAAATTAGTACATTCCCAGTCAGACCTTATTAAGCACACTTACTTTGTCGAAGTTGCCCAGTAAAGAAAGGATTCTGCCCTCAACTTCTCCCTTGTTAAGACCGGCGGCTGCGGAGTAGCATCTTGCAGCTTGGAAAGCTGATGGGGCGAATTGAGATTTTGTGATGAAAGAACTTTGGTTGATAGGACGAGCAATTGCTGCAGGTCTTTGGACAGCTTTGCTAGCAGCGCTGCGGGCTGATCTGAGAAGGGCGGTTCTGAACATCTTGATATGTGGAGAGGATTAGAAGTGACGTCTGTGGATAATACAGTGGTAGATACGAATTTGACGATAGAGATGCTTCCCAGAATGTTTAGCTTTAGCGTATTTTGAGTTCACGTGACAAAGAGTGCGCCGACGAGTTTGATGGAGTTACGTAGAATGAATTTGATTGGTACAAATTTGGTTTGAGATGGTAAATTGTATGTTAAGGACTATATTCAATCTATATTACCGTTTCAAAGATATAAAAGGAAGTGGTGGCGTACAATAGAAGCTTTCAACTTTTGGCCAATCACAGAAAGTCATTTCGAAATCAAGTCGTAAAGTTCCGTCAACCCTCAAATAATATCATATACAAGTTACAGATCTCTAACAATCTTGCCACGAGCAACCCTTCACAATGGCAACAACAAAGCCCATAACTATGCTCGTGGCGCGCAGTCGTCCATTAACTACTTTGACTGCCTCAACAATTCGCACATTCACACCTGTTGCATCTAGAGCAACCTTCTCAACTTCTCAATTTCGAGGCGCCACCCCAGCCGGTCCTCCCCCGCCCGGCTTCAGACTGCCAAAACCTGTAAGATGGAATGAGAGTAAGGAGAGTACGATGGATAAGGCAGGGAAATACTTCCTCATGTCGGAGTTGTTCCGGGGAATGTATGTAGTACTAGAACAGTACTTCAGACCTCCGTAAGTTACGCCATTGAGTCTCTCAAACTCCATGTTGCAGTGGCTAATTACCTGTAGATATACAATTTACTATCCTTTCGAGAAGGTATACAGTTCAAAAATATATTTGGGTGGCAACAAATACTTATAGGATATAGGGTCCAATTTCTCCTCGATTCAGAGGCGAGCACGCTTTACGAAGATACCCTTCAGGAGAAGAACGATGCATTGCTTGCAAGCTTTGCGAAGCTGTATGTTATTCCATTCTAATGAGTAGTGGCGGTTTCTCATATAGTTTAGATCTGTCCCGCACAAGCTATTACGATTGAAGCGGAGGAACGTGAAGATGGCAGTCGCAGAACGACACGATACGATATTGATATGACGAAATGTATCTATTGCGGATTCTGCCAGGAGAGTTGTCCAGTTGATGCTATTGTGGAATCACCAAACGCTGAATACGCCACTGAGACGAGAGAGGAATTGTTGTACAACAAGGAGAAGGTATGTCAATATTCAAATAACCCGCTGGGTTTGGTCCATCTCTTACTAACCTATTCTACAGTTACTGTCTAACGGAGACAAGTGGGAGCCGGAATTGGCGGCAGCCGCAAGGGCTGATGCACCATATAGATAACCATGTTTTTATTTGTTGCGAGGTGGGAAACTGTACATATCAGAGGTGTTGCTTCAAAATGCGAGTAACTGGACACAAGAAATTCCATAATTTGTGCAACAAAACATGTTCTCGCTGGTCTGAACGTCTATTTATGTATTAAAAGAAGTGAACCAAGTCTACAAGTGTAGACAATGTACTTTTGTCAGAATGTCCACATGACCTTGTCGTAGAGGGATCTTGTTAAGACTTGCATGGAGTTGTTTGGCTCACAGATCGGCGAGATTCAAGTCTGCCCGACGATGTTACTTTCAATTTACTTACTATACATACCTAGATAGGTATTCATTCTCAAAACCAAACACTGCCGTTCCAAGTTGTTGAATCCGAGATAAAAAAATCACACTTGTTCATGGGCAGCTCCAGTGTCCAAATCCAAAAACCGCCCCCCCCCCAGTGTACATCGATTGGGCAAGATCAGAGGCAATATCTGTGCAGTCTCGCCCCTAGAGACGAGGAAGGTGCGATTTTAGTTGTGGTGTTAAGCAGATAATACAAAGAGAAGGAAGCTGTCACTGACCTTCACAAACACAAGTGGTCGTTTTTCCTTTAACCTTTCATTCCTTCAATATCATACTTCAATACCATACTAAATTATCTAATCTTGTCTGCTTGAAAATGTCTTCAATGCACAGCGCACAACAAACTTATTCTGTCAACAATCTTAATCATCCTGTCCCTCTTAAAATGGAAGGGATCACTGCAATCAATGCGAGATCTCGTAAAAAAGAATCACCGATTCACATCTCAATTCCTGCCGAGTGCTTCGGGACTCAGTCTGCGCTCGATAATATCAGGTTCTGAATCATGACATCGATCTTACAACGCCGTCTCCACCTCTGCTTCTCAGAACTTCCGAGCTCAACTATTCGCCAATGTCCAAACCATTTAAGGATACTCGAACCACGAGCTCAACGCCGAATAAACCAAAAGACACATTCAAGACTCGTATCCCTCTCCTACACGGCCTTTCACAGGATGTCGCGAAGCCAGATCAGTATGTAAAGAGAAGAGAGGAGTACGGTTCATTTTTCTCATCAACATGGTGCTCTTCTTCAGGCCTTTCAGAGCAAGTCTCGGACCATGAGGCTACTGATGAGTATAGAAATCACCAAGTATCAAAAGAGAGACAAGAATCTCACTTCTCCAGGGATTGGTATCCGGATAAATGGATGTTGCAGCTCATTGATCCAATAAATAGTCAGCCGCTGACTTGTAAAAAGATTGCTCGACGTTATACTGCGGTATTCAAACACGATATCATAGCAAAGACTCTCGCAGGCCGTATAGAACAGCTCGCGGCTCTTGATCTAACTGATCAGGCGAGAGTCATAACATCCTCGGCAAATATTTCTCTACCTCCTAAGAAACCTACAAGGAGTGAATTCTGGGCAACAGTCACGCAGGCTCCTGCAGATATCGAACCACCATCTAGTAATCCCCTAAAAAGGAAATTAGCGACACTCATACAAGATTCCGAAAATCAGTTCCTCCACAAACCCATGCAAGGAAGGCTTTCTGGGCAATAATCATGCAAACATCGGAAATTGAATCTTCTTCTGAAAAGATCTTGAGAAGTAACTCTTCGGTACGGCGGTGCGAAATAGAAGCTCAACTTCTCGAAAGAAACGCCCAAGAAAGGAGCGTTTGGCAGCGGCGGTGCAGAAGTCTGCAATTTCTACTTCGTCGAGGAAACGTCCGCAGAGATTTTTGGGCGGTTTGTTTAGAGTGAGTTAATTCTTAGCTAGTTTTTAATTGGTGTATTGGTAACTTGGACTTAGTTGTGAAGCGGAAGAGATAGCGCTATGGAATATTCAATATTGGATTCGTGAACCACTGTGTGGATGTGGTTTGAATAGCTCATTTATCTTGTATAGGTAAGCATAGGAGTTTCATTTGAATGTCTGGCGGGGTCCTGCTTTGATATGCCGAGTTGTGTATAAGAGGGTCAAACTTGTTGGGAAATTAGCATAGTAATGTCGTGTATCACGCGCAGTATTTTTAACAAGTCTTAAAAAAAAATATATATATATAAAAGAAACATTGCGTTGTGGAAAGCCTCCCAGGGGTAGCGAACCTATATTGGATAGGGGTATTATACTATATTCAAACGATTTAGAACTGAACTGTTATATTCGTTTATTTTGGATAAAAGAGTGTTGTGTTTGTTAACGTGATACTATTCGAATGCAGTAGTCATTCGGAGAAACTCTGTAAGGTGTGCAATTGAAGATTCTATCTCTAAATCTGACCTCTCTATCTGATCTGTAATAATCAGCTTTCGATCTACAAACTATGTTTATCTATCCCTACTTGTAGAGAAAACACATGGTATGAGACACTAGATATGCATAGCTTGCACCCTGCTTGGTTACCCAAACACTCTTACTACTCAGTCAGCAGTTGTTAAAAACCGAAACCCACATTCTCCGACTCCCGATTTCTAACTTCCTCCATCTACCATCCGAACCCCTCATCATGCCACCACACCTCCCTCCCCTTTTCAACCCACTTCCCTACATGTTCTCTCAACTCCCTCGCCATACCCGTCGGTCCACAGACCAGAACCGCTACTTTCTCCTCCAATCCTTGACAAAAGGTTCCATCTACAATCGCGCGCAAATCCGGTCTTGAATATTTCGTATTACTAGATTGAGAGGCCAAGTTATGCATTTCCACACTACCAGGTTCACCTGGTGAAGAAGTGGATGTGGAAGAAGAACCACGGGGAGAAGTGATGTATAATTCTATTCCCGGGTTGCTTTCAATTTTGAGTTCTGAGTTCTCGTTTTGAGTTGAGGAGGAGGAAGACAGTGCCCAGGATGATTCGGCTGCATCTCGCATAACCCAGATCATTCTCACATGACTACCTATTCTACCTTCACTCTCCATATCTTGCTTTACCGCTCGATAAATGGGTAAAGTAAAGGTAGCGCCTACGCCACCGGCTACGAGCAATACTCTATCGAATTTCTCGGCTAGATTGGGGAATTTACGGGAGGTTCCATAGGGCCCTTCGATGTTGAGTGGTGGATGGGCTTTGTTGAGATGAGAAAGAGAAGATAGGGCAGATGTAGTTGGCCCGTTGAGAGTGCGCATTGTTAGAGTGATTTGTGGTGAAGGAGTTTCTGAGACAGAAGCAACAGTAAATGGATTGTAGAGTAATTCATAGAGATGGCGATTATACCCTGTAGATTTGGGGACGGATGATGGAGGAATAGACAGGTAAACGTGTTGACCTGGAGCATATTGAAATTGAGAGATTTTCGAAGGTGTAATTGGGATAGTGACTTCGACAAGTGAAGTTTCTGGGACTGGTTTTATGATAGCGAAAGCTTTAATTGTGTTGGATTTGCGAATGCCAAGGTCGATTACGAAAAGTGCGAATGCTTCGAGTATGTAAATACGGAGAGCAGTGGCATGGAAGAATAGAAGAGGAAATATGGCGATGGCGACAAAAAGATGAATGATAAAGAAAACCCGGTAAGACCAACGACGAACAATTGGTAAACTCGTGATAATGAGGAGATTGATGAGCCAGAAAGAGAGTATACCGTAGATGATTATAGGTGTTGTGACTTTCATGTACAGAACTCCAATCTGAATCCAACCATTTACATACCAGCTGGCATGGCAGGCAAGAAGAGTCCATATGACTCGGCCGGATATTCGGTGCCAGGTATTGAGCTGCTCATGCGATGATCCGAATAATACGGAGAGTGGTGAATATAAAGATTTCATAGATAGTGCATAGTGAGCAGGGAATTGTGATGCTGCAACTATACCAAATCGCTTCGTTATATGAAAGTAATCTGGACATATCATTAGTCATTATGTTCAATTATACAACATATGAATTTCCAAGGTCCTAGATAGCCCAACCACAGTTTTACCGATAAGAAGACCTTGACGGCTGAGTAATATTTCAGAGACTCGATCCATTTGAGATAGGAAAGTGAATTCAAGAAGAAGAGAGGGGGTGATTCGCTTGTAATCTCAAATCTACTCAGGTGAGATGTCTGCTGTTCTTTGCAAACCCTCGAGAGAAGAACTCCCACAAACTCCGACATACAGACAAACCGAGTAACTTTACTCAGAACAGTATACTCATACACCTCCTCAAATCAACGACGAAAAGAAATAAATAATCATACCATCACCCGTTCTATGCACACACAAAAATCCCAGCCATGCCCCCCACGCCCCCGCCATAATCCACTGGCCCCTCTCACCCCGACCGGGTGCCACTTCCCCGCCTAACCACCAGACGACAGTTCTTGTCTTTCGTTTCCACTCCGCGCTCCTCGAAGTCCTCTTCTTCTTCGATGTAGGAGAACTAGGAAGGGCGTTGTAATCGACTTTCGATCGCCGACGCTCGGAATAAACCCATATTGCTAATCGATAGACATTATACAGGATGATGGGGATAAAAATGGAAAGTTGGGCGTAGAGACCATATCGATCGAGGAGAATACGACTTTGGATTTTCTCTTCCGGAGTGGGAAATTTGATGCGGTAGGGCCAGGACATTTTGAAGGTATATCTATACCTGTATTGGTTATTGATATCGACAATGAACGACACCACTTGAGTTCTCAAAAAAGGTTACCCAAAAAATGAAAGAATATCTAATAAAGTAAATCAAGACACGTTTATATATGTTTACTCCCAACTACCCGCCCACTCAAAAGTCCCGGGCGAATAGAGTTTTATTGAATATGGCATATGTTACTGTAGTCCCTGTCTATCCGAATGCTTTCGGACTGATATCCAACTCATCAGCACTAGATGATTAATTGACCAATCACTCAAGGTTTATTACACTAATACCGATTCTGACCCGCGCGGAAGCTCGGACCATCTAGAGGGATGAAATGTATGAAACTAATCCCTGTTCGACTAAAATACCCCATGAAGACCTTGGGACGTCGATACATTTTAATGCGGAAAATTAGAATGCCACTACTTGAGTAATGTGAATGATTTCACCATTTTTTTGCAGAAAGTTTATCTAGCAAGGTATTTAACATCAAAACTTATCTTTCTATTCGAATATATGAATTGAGTATCTACGAATCCCACCAATGCGATGAATACAACCACCATGCGCACTCTGCGCACTTCATCCCTCTTCCACTCGCCCCTCAAACCTCAATATCAACCCCTCATCCGTCTCTGCTCCCTGCCATCAACCCATCGTTTCCAATCCAGCACTCCTCTCTCACCCTCTCTCCCCTCCAATCTAATCCCCGCCAATACCGTCAATGGACCCCCCTCTACTCTCCCTGCGCCCCTCGATCTCCCCACCCGCGAACCCAACCAACCATTCTTCTTCAAATACGCCTTCACCCTTGGAAAAGCCTATGCCAAATTCTACAAAACCGGCGTCAAGAATATCTACTACAATTTCATTGCCTCCCGCACCATTCAAACCATTATCGATGAAAAACACAAATCCTCCCTCTCCTCCGCCGTAAAAGGCGATGCGCTATCTCGTTCGGATTTCCAACTCTTGATTCGCAATCGCCACGATGTGAAGCGCGTTCCCATCTTCGCTCTGGTATTTCTAATCTGTGGAGAATTTACGCCACTGGTCGTTATTGCGATTAGTAGTGTCGTGCCGTGGACATGTCGGATTCCCAAACAAATCGATGCGGATCGAAAGAAACTGGAGGAGAGGAGAGCGATTAGTTTTAGAAATTTGACTATGAAGACTCCGCCTGCAGGAACGGATTCGCAGGGATTGAGGCGTATGCAGCTGTTGCATATCTCTTGGAGTTTGGGTCTGAGTAGTAGTGCGTGGGATTATATCGGAGGAAGATTCCCTGGACTGCCGAATGTGATTTTGAGGAGGAGAGTGGAGAAGAGAGTGAAGTATTTGGATATGGATGATAAGCTCATTAAGAATGAGGGGGGTGTGAAAGGAATGTTGGAAGAAGAATTAAGGATGGCGTGTGTTGAAAGGGGAATCGATGTTATGGGACGGGATATCCACATGTTAAGGATGCACTTGAATGCTTGGTTGAGATCGAGAGAAAAGGTTGGAGTGGAAACTCTGCTTTTGACTAGGTGAGCTGACAAATGATCTTCGAGCCCTCAAATTCACCAGCTAACCATTCCAAAAGACCAGCAGCATGGCCCTCGAAGCCTAAGATGCTCTAGATACCAGGAGCACACACGACTTTGTACGATAGCACACGAATTTTATGTCCAGATACACGCACTTCGATTCCATTTCTTGTTCATTTACAAAATCATCTCCACATGTACAGCAATTGTAGGATACGGGAAAAAGCAACCACACTTCTCGATAGATAAAAAGACCTCACTCAGTATATAGATAGACATAGAAATAGAAACATCTCTGCATTTGATATTATTCGTTTATTAAGAGCTGTGATGTATATCTACGCACGAGTTATTTCTTCTGTTTTGATCTATCCCCTAATGTGCTCTCGTCGCTAGCTCTTCTTGAAACGGCATGCATCATGCAAACCATACACGGTAGAAAACAAACTCTTAACATGAT